TTCAAAAACACAGGAAAGTGCTTAAGGGAAACTCATACAATTTTTAATTTAACTGGAAATTATGATTACCTTGGTGCTTTGAGAATACGTCTGGCAATGTTTTCATAGTCTGGAACCAGATTCCGGAGAGTCACTTGATAGCTAAAATCAACATGAGTAATTGGTGAAGGGCTGTAGTTGCTGGATGATGCCACATCTGTCCTTTACGTTGCGTTTACCCGTTCGGGGGACTCGAGTCCTCATTACATCCGTGTGTGGTAAAATCTGTCCCCGCCTCATTTGCACTCCCCTCACAATTCCATTGAGAGGACCTCACAGGAACAAACACAGCTTTCATTTTATACCGAGGCTCCAAACAGCCCCGGGTCATTGCTTGCCCATGTTGTGCAAAATCATATTTGAGTGGATTCACCGGAGCCCCGGTGCCTGCTGCCTACTGCCTGAATTGAAAATCCCTTCCTGTTGTATCACACAACATTTGATTTGTTGTCTCTAGATTATTCAAGGGACTCGCTGCCTCAAGGAGGAGCATTTTAACATTGTTTTATGAAAAGCAGTGTTTGCATAAGATTGGGAATGTGGCAAAATGTCCTTGTGACTTGAAAATGGAAAGAATCTGATATCATCCTGGCAGCCGATAACAAAGGCTTAGTGCACGGCTTTTGTTTGGATGATAATGTGATTATAAGGCTGGCGGAGACCTGTGTGAAAACAATGACTGTTTGCAGACACAGCGAGTGTGTAACGGAAAAAAAAAACCCACAGAGAGGAGAGAGTCAGAAGCTGGTTTTCGAGGTGTTTGCGATTGCAGAGGAGGAAGAGAGTAGGTTCAGAGACTGAGTAGAGAGAGAGGAAGAGGAAGGAGGCAGGTGAGCAACAGGAAACTGAGAGAGGCCTGCGTACTCCTGCATCAGCTTTTTGGACAGCTGCCTGTTGGATGATGAGATTAAAGCGTCTTTGAATTTGACCTCCGTGCTTTATTTTGTTATTAACACGCCACTCCTCTGAGCAAGGTCACGCTATTCACAACATGCACCGTGTAAAGCAAGGCAGTGCTTCACCCACGATCGTTAGATTTAGTGACAAAACATGAATTTACAGGTGATCTGGGCGTAGACTCATTGTCCTTCATCATCGTTCAGAAACCCGGTCTCCAGACGTCGTCTCCAGACGATAACGACAAGTTTTATATCTGTTGAATAAACAGTAAAGTCAACGCTGGACTTTGTGGAATTTAAATCAGCAGCTGCAGATTGACTCACATCGCGTCGTGCACATGAGATGTAAAAATGGGCAACGTGAAGACTAAAGTGATTTTATTAGTCAGTTGGTCAGGTCACACATTATCCAACGCTGAGTCACGAATTGTCAACACTTTGAATACAAAACTGTATTTTGGTTATGGCCAGCACAGAAGATCGTAACTTGGTCTGTGAGTCATGCAGAGGCTGTGACGAATACTGAGTCAGATGAAAAGACACTTTACTGTTAAAGATAAGTTATAAGAAAGAAAAGAAGTTTAGATACGAGTGAGTCAAAAACTCAGCTGCATCTCAGGTGTCAGATTTTGCAGAAACACACTTGGTCTAACTCTGTGTGGTCCTCCTCTGCAGGAGGAATAGAAAGTGAGGAAGAGGAACAGAGAGCATGGCATACGATAACAACAAAGCTGAGAAGACAGAGGTCTCTCTGTCTCAGTGCCAATAAACTATTCAACACAGCTGGAACGAGAACAGAAACTGCTGAAGGACTCATTCGTAGTTTAACTGCATCAACAACAAAAGAAGTTAAAGAATCGAGAGGGGTGGGTGGGGGGGGGGGAGATTTGCTCAGTTTCTTTGCAGGGTAACTTCATCCCTGCCCCCATTTCACGATGTGCTGCAGTGCTGTGCAGAATTGTACCAGAGTGATTCCTGCATCTTCTTTCACGTTGGACACAGGAGCAAGTCGAATGTGTGAAATATAAAAACTGAACACTTGGGAACAGGGACTGGAAATGAGTCAGACTCAAATCATCGTGATTATATTGTCGATCAGGGATTTGGCGACGAGACTCATTGGACCAATCTGAGCTGAGTCTGTCACAGTCTGAGCGTCGGGCAGTTGGGATGTAAAATAATGCATTTTGTGGTTTATAAGGACCAAAGTTAATTTGTCCGTTTGATAAAAACATGATTCCAGTTGTAAAAACGTGTAAAGCCTGACTTGTAGCCGCTCCACGTAAGAAGCTTTTAGCTTTACTCTTTATCGTACAGCTGAAACCACTTTTAAATCCATGAGAGCTGGATTTTCATTTGGTTCTGCAGCAAATAGAAGTCAGATAGAAGTAAAGTAAGATATTTTTCATCAAGATCCATGATCGATTCCCGGGAAGTTGTTGAAAATATGAAAAAAAAACAACACACTGGCTTCTTTCTTGTCCCATGTTCCCTCCTTCCTCCAAGTTTTATGGAAATCTGTTCATTAGTTTTTGTTGCAAATCCTGCTGACGTCAAAGAAACTCTCGACCTGGCCGGGGACAAATCATCACCTCTTTGGTGGAGGTGGTAAAAAACCGAGCAGACCAAATGGTTACGCAGCGTGTTGCTGTCTGTGAAAAATTTAATCCACTTCCTCATATTTCATTGTGGAGCAACAGCCCAGCAGAGTTCACCTCATTCCCATAAAGCTTTTCTATCTCCCGGCTGCAGAGTCCCCGGTTTTTCTACATTTACCTTTTCACCACCTCATCCAAACGGAGCCTTTGAAAGCGGCTCCTCTCTACATCTATCTGGGAATAGTTATGCTCTCTGTAGGTTTTAATAGTCTGCAGGGTTTGTTCCCAGTCCGAGCAATTAAGAGTTTTGAGAATTAATTCGTACTTCGCTGCTCCGCAACGTGACTTGAGACTTAAAAAGCACAAAGACCGAGTCTGGAGTCAAAGCTGAGGCTCAATTAAGCAGCTTTGACGATGAGAAAACCTTTAAGGGCCTCGAAAGTAAAAACGTTCAGACACTTTGAAGAGTCCCCAACCTTGGATCAAGACTTGCATTTTTAAGATTTGACTTGAAAACCAGCTCTGATCGACTGGAGACTTAAAACCAGCTCCTCCTGTGAATGATGCAAGTCTTCTCGAAATAAAAAGAGAAATCGGAGCAGTTTAAGAAATCAAGAAAAACTTCACGTATGAGCGTTAGAATTTTTAACTCAACCCCCCTCCCCCCCCACTCCCCCTCCTCCACCAGGGGTCAAACAAAGCTGGGGAGTAACGGCAGTGATGTCACACTGGAATCAGTTTCCAAATTGCCTGCTAATCTTATCTCATTAAAACTACTGAATTAAAGTCCACCCACACAATCAACTTTAACCTTAATGTCTGCGGCAAAATGAGAAGCTGTGTTTCATCCTGCATTTCATATCTGTTGTGGTTCCTCGTCCACCTCCACATGTGGCCTTCTCGTGCTGTCGGCTGTGGGGTGTGATAGCAATGATTTCTGAAGTACACACTAACACACACACACACACACACACACACACAAACACACACACACACACACAAACACACACACACACAGAGTCCTATGGCTGAGTTAACTTGACAGATTGTCATTGGAATACTGTAATGGGACTCAAACCCCCGGACACTCCAACACACACACACACACACACTCACACACACACAGCAGAGGAGTGTGTCACTGCGGGGGGGGTGGGTGTGATTGACAGGCCTCGGGATGGTGATGGAGACTAATATGGGCCCCGGACAGCCGTGTGAACAGCAGGTAGTCTGAGAGAGAACGCAGCAGCACAGATTTTATTTTATATCAGCAACATCTCCTTGATTTACGTGTTGACACAAGTCTTTATAGACGTGTTGTAGCGCCACAGTGAATTGTCAAATGACAGCAGGAAAGAATTCACAAATAGAATCATAAATTGCGGTTTAGCAGCTCTTGTCTCCTGTGAGAAGTTTATATCAGAACATATATTTTTTTTAACCTGCAAAACTTTTAATCTCTTTAATTAATTGAAGCTTGTGAGTTGAATTTAATAAAAAAAAGTCTCAACTCACAGGAGACAATGAAAAATAACGAAAAATGAATTAAACCTAATTTGTTGTTTCTCTCTAAAGTTGGACTGATAGTGGCACAAAATACAAAGATTATATTATATTAAATTTAGCACACGACTCATTTGCTCCTCTGATGGATATTTGATCATTGACAATCAGACAAAAAGAAGTGTTTGGCATTTCTCCTTTTGCAAATTAGGTGAATGAGCAATTTAAACATTTATCATATTAAAGTATTTATGCACATTGAAACCTTTAAATAAATACAAATCAGAAAATTCTAGCACAGGAGCAGAATATTGTTAAATATTATTAGTGTTACAGTTTGGCTTAAAGGTCCAGGGTGGCAGAGACACTGGATTTAAAATAAATAATGAAATAAAAAGAAAAGGTTTAGAGGCAAAGAGAAACAAAAACAAAAAAACAATGAAGAGGAAACATGAGGGAACAACGCAGAACCTAAACAGGAAGAAACAGAAACACGAGGAAACATCAGGGAACTAAATGGATAAACGGTCCCCTCATGAAACTACATTCAAATTCATTAGATCCAGATTTTATTTTCACACGGAGCAATTTATTTTTCTCAGAAATCAACTAAAATATTAAAAATGACTGATCTGAATCCCCCGATGCAGATTCGTACCCATATTTGATTCAAGTTTCGATAAAATCGTTTTTAACAGGCAGACAGAAATATAACCAAAATCCAAACTAATTAAAAAGTCATTTAAAGTCCGTCACAGGAACGAATCATGACACTTCTGTTTATTTTAGTCTGTGATTGTCGATTTGTGTCCTCAGCTCTGCCTTTGTGTTCTTCTTCAGGTGTTCGGGGGACATTCAGGTGATGCAGGTCCCCCGCTCATCCCAGTGGAGGAGCCAGCTAATGACGAGTGGCTTGGGCTGCTGAACGCCCATCCCCCCCCCCCCGCCCGCCACCGCCGCTACCGCCACCACCCGCAGCCCCACCTCGCCCCCCTCCATCTCTGATGGCTCTATGGGGCGTCGTCAGCCTCAGCCTTCACTGCTGGGTGTGTTTACGGTCCGTAGCTACAGCAGCAGCGGCAGCACCGTCCAGCCTCCCCAACGACAAGCCCGGGGGCCCCCTGGACTGGCTCCTGTCGGATAAGGGGCCCTTCCACCACTCCTCAGAGTACATCGACTTCGTGGAGAAGAATCGACAGGGTTTCTCCACCAGATACAAGATTTACAGGTAAGTCAGGAGGAAGAGGAACACTTGGTGTATCACTGCTTCATCTTCACTTCTAATGTCACAACAATAATTATCCCTCTGTAATTTAACCAGCATTACTTTCTCTGTGGGATTCACACGCTGCTTCACACCTTGAAAGAGGGTTTCGAGGATGAATTTGAGGATTCAGCATCATCCTTTCATGTGGAGGCAGAGAATCCCTGCATGATTCCATTAATACTGCATATACAGGATATACACTGCATATATTTCCAACTGGTTCGTTAGAGGAAAAATATATAGTCTCGATTTAGAGAAGTGTTCTTCATAATTAATGTGATCCATGAATTCAAGCGGCTTCAAGGCCATGCCCAAAATTTGTACAAATCCTCACCTGACCCTTATTAAAGCGCTGCAGTGAGAAATATATTGCTTGCAGTGAAATGTACTGCAGTTAAATCAGGTGGAGTCAAATTATATGATAGAGATGAGGAAGGAGGGGCAAGTGAACTTTATGCTGCTCCGGCTGACTCAACCTGCAAGTGTACATCCGCTGTGATGTGTTGGTTGAGGAGGAACAGATTATAGTCGAGGACAAGGTCACTCTAAGGACGTTTTACTCCTAATTGCACATGTGATAAGGTCACGGCGGCGCCCACAGCTGCAGCTGCACGGGGCTTTTTATTTTATTACCCGTACATTTGCTTTTTTATTGTAACATCAAAATGATGTAACACAACTGCATGTGTGATATTAGTGCACACGGCGGAGGAGGGGATGTGCTTTGTGGGGGGGAGAAAAAAAAAAAAAACGCATTCAAGGCTGCTTAGTAGGCAGACTGCAGTATTTGGCCTATGCTGTCATGCAGAAAGGTTTCTCACAGCCAGCGTTCACAGGATGTCTGGCACTCGCCTCGACAGAATCGCAATGCGTGACGTGCCGACGTGCTGCTGTCGGCTGGCCGCGCCTCCCGTTCTGCTGCCGGGCAAACGCTCAGGAAGCCACCTGATCAGGTGGTCAAATGAAGGCGATGATTTGTCACGGCAGCAGCACAGACTGAGGTATCGGCATGTGACCGAATTAGTGGAGCCGGTGTCATGAATCATATCCGTCGTCATTCGGGAGGACGTCGTCCAGGCCCGCTGGAAAAAGACGGACAGGGTTCCTGACATCTATGGATCGCTGCATGGATGCTTTACGGCTTCAGCGATCGGATGCCGTGTTAGAGGTTTTTAATATTTCCTTCTCTGGCAGTGGTCCGCTGGAGCCGAGCTGCAGGAGCGGCGAGATTAATAGTCTTATCATGTGGCCAAGTGATTAGTGAGCTCTTAGTACTTATTACTCTGCATTATCACAGAATCCCCTGAGAGGCTTCTGTCAGCTGCAAGGTTGCGTTTGAGGCCCTCTAGATTACCACAATGCGGCATTGATTAATAGTGATGATATTAAAAGGAAAAGCTAACCTAAAAAAGTAAATAGCCCGTAAATCTTCCCAAATTGAATTCACTTGGATTCTGTCCCATTCGGTTTTTAGAAAAGAGTCCAACAAAGACAAGAGGGACACATCTGCAGCATAGCTTCTGTTTTAGCTAATAATAGCCTTGTTTCAGTGCTGACGCCGGTGGGTTGAGATGTGGTGATCACTTTCTGAAACCCACACCTGAAGGTGGCTCTTAATAAATTCAGCGGGCTTGTTTTATTGTAAAATTGCAATATTCTCTCCAGGGGGTGAAACTTTGCAGCGATGCTCCTGCTGTGTGTTGCTCTGTAACAGACGTCCTGAGAGTTTACTCATCAAGCTCGAGCCCTCGTGTGCCAACCAGAAAAGAACACGACGCTCTGTGGAGGTGACTCACAACCATTCTGCTCACTGCTCTTCACCACAGGGTGAAAATACAGAACAATGGAATGGTGACAAACCAAACCAAATAAAAAACAGGGTTCTGTGATATCGATGGACCTTTAAACTTGAAAGTGCTCCTCTGCGGTTTGCTTTTAAATTATTTATTAAATGTCCTCGAAGTGATTTTTCCAATCAAATAGTTTTAATACCAAAGTCAAGGTGTGTCAAATGTAAAAACAGGAGTATGGATGCGTTTAAATAGATTCAGCCATTCGTCCCTGAATCAAACCTCCACAGAGAAGCTGCAGCAACATATTATATTTAAAATGATAAGTGGACTGTATTGATGTGGGCTAGTGCTCCGCTAATCCACGACGACCCTAAGAGCTTTTTTCATCCACTCATACTGAATGTCCATACGCACAGTTTTTCTATCACTACATCAAATTCAAATTCTGATGGACTTCAGAATGGGCTGAAGGACCCAGGGATTTCATTTCATTTCATTTGTATTTATT